GGGTGAGAAACTAATAGAGAAATAACATAGTAAGGCAATAAGAACTGGAAAGACTGAGAATCAAATCTTGGCTATTACATCCTGACACTGCTTCTTGCTATCTGTATGTCACAGGACCTTAATTTCCTTATCTGTAAAATGGGGCTAATATCTACCTCATAAGGTTGTGCTGGGGGACTAAATGATAAAGAATGAGAAGTGCCTATAAGGTGTTTGATTTGTAGGTCCCTGTAATCAATGAGTTATGAGTAGTTCTTACGAATATTATTAATTATAATATTAATGTTTTATAACAAGAGTTTTTCCTCCCCTAATATTTATTGCTGCATAACTAATTACCCCAAAACTTTGTGACTTAAAACAAGACATCTTAGGCGGGCAACAGTGGCTTTGGGAGTAATCCCAGTGCTTTGGGAGTAATCATATTGCTTTGGGAGGCTGAGGTGGGAAGATTGCTTGAGGCCAGGAGTTTGAGACCAGCCTGGTAACAGTTCGAGACCCTGTCTTTACAGAAAATTAAAGAATTATCTGGGCATGGTGGTGTGCACCTGTAGTCCCAGCTACTTGAGAGTTTGAGGCAGAAGGATCACTTGAGTCCAGGAGTTGAAAGTTGCAGCGAGCTATGATTGCATCACTGCACTCCAGCTTGGGTGACAGAACAAGACCCTGTCTTAAAAAAGCAAACAAACAAAAATCATACCTTTATTATATTTTCATTTCTGTGTCAGGAATTTGGGGGTGGCTTTGCTCTGGTTCTCTGAGGAGGTTGCAGTCAAGCTTTTGGCAAGGGTTACTAGGAGAATATCATCTGAAGGCTTGCCTGGGCCTGGAGGACCCATGTCTAAGATGGCTTGTTCAACATGGCTGTTGGCAGGAGGCTTTAGTTCTTGGCACTTATACCCCTTTATAGGGCTGCTTGAGAGCCCTCAAGACATGGCAGCTGGTTTCTCCCCAGCATGAGTGATCCAAGAGAGAGCAAGGCAAATACCATGGTAACTTTTCTAACCGAGCCTGTGCAGTCACACACCTGTGAAGTCATTTCTGCAGGGTAATAGATCAGCCTTATTCATTGTCATAAGGGTCTTCTCACTCTCCTCCCAGTTTCTGCCCTTGTCCTCCCTGTGGTCTGTTCTCCATGAAGTAGCTGATGGCCCTTTTACGACTCAAAGGAGATTGTGTCACTTTCTGGTGCTTCCATGACACTCAAAGTGAGAGCCACAGACCTCACTGCACCCAAGGGCTCTTTGTGTCTGACCTCCCCTCCTGTGATTCTCCCCAGGGCCCACCTGGCCCCCTTCCCAGGAATCTCACCTCGCTCTTCCCTCTGCCTCCAGTGCTCTTTCTCTAGACAGCTGTCCCCTATGTTCGGCAACTCTGTCTCAAATAGCACCTTCCAGGGACACTGTCTAAACTTTATTTATTTATTTAGAGACAGAGTCTTTATTGCCCAGACTGGAGTGCAGTACAGTGGCGCGATCTCAGCTCACTGCAACTTCTGCCCCCCAGCTCAAGGAATTATCTCGCCCCAGCCTCCTGAGTTGTTGGGATTACAGGCATGTGCCACCACACCCACCTAAGTTTTGTGTTTTTAGTAGAGATGTGGTTTCACCATGTTGGCCTCAAACTCCTGACCTCAAGTGATTGACCTGCTTCAGCCTCCCATAGTGCTGGGATTACAGGCCTGAGCCAGTGCACCTGCCCTAAACTTTATATTATTTTATTAAAAAGTTTTTTTAGACGGTCTCACTCCGTGGCTTAAGCTGGACTGCAGTGGCACAATCTCTGCTCACTGCAACCTCCGCCTCCCAGGTTCAAGGGATTCTCTTGTATCAGCCTCCCTAGTAGCTGGGACTACAGGTGTGCAACACCATGTCCAACTAATTTTTCTATTTTTAGTAGAGACAGGGTTTCGCCATGTTGGCCAGGCTGGTATGGAACTCCTGGCTTCAAGCGATCCACCCACCTCAACCTCCTGAAGTGCTATAATCTTGAAGGGATTACAGGCGTGAACCACCGCTCCCGGCCTCTTTGTCTAAATTTTCAAAAACCTTTGCCCCAGATGCTTTGTTCAGCTTCCCTGCTTCCATTTTTCTCCTTCGTTCTTATCAGTGTCTCTCTCACTCTGTTTTTAAATTTAATTAATAAGAGAAAACCCTCCTTTATTAGACTGTGAGTTAAGAGCAGGGATTTTTGTCCATTTTGTTCACTGCCACAACGCATGGTCTATTTGCATATCCGTGAAGCCATTTTTATGTTAATATTTAAGAATGTAGGTGTTACCTTCCCACACAAATCTGGTTGAAGTTAGCATACCAGAAATGTTTGTAATTCATCAGTACAGTGTGTTATTTCTTGCCCAAGATTACTAGATCTGATTACTGGGGTGAAAAAAAGGAAGGGAAAGTTTAGGAGTTTCCCTTATGTGAACTACTTCTTTTGTGAATTGATTGCAAGTTAGGTATGTATTCAGATGGAGAATTAAAATCTATGGTGCTATAGAGAATTATAAGAAGAGCCATTAGGAGAAGCACAAGGTGTATATTTAAAGACCCATATCTTTTGTTTTATTGACAAGTAAAAAAATTTTTTTTCCTGAGGCAGAGTTTCACTCTTGTTGCCCAGGCTGGAGTGCAATGGTGTGATCTCAGCTCACTTCAACCCCTGCCTCCTGGTCTCAAGTGATTCTCCTGCCTCAGCCTCCTGAGTAGCTGGGACTATAGGTACTTGCCACCACATCCAGCTAATTTTTGTATTTTTAATAGAGATGGGGTTTCGCTATCTTGGCCAGGCTGGTCTTGAACTCCTGACCTCAGATGATCCGCCTGCCTTGGCCTCCCAAAGTTCTGGAATTACAGATGTGATCCACCATGCCCAGCCAACAAGTAATAATTTCTGTATTTACTGTGTACAACATGGTGTTTCTAAATGTGTATGCATTGTGGAATGGCTCAATCCAGTGAGGTACTGTGCATTATCTCACATACTTACCTCTTTTTTGTTGTTATAAAAACACTTAAAATCTACCCGTTTTGTTTGTTTTTGTGTTTTCGAGACAGAGTCTTACTCAGTCGCCCATGCTAGAGAGTGCAGTGCCATGATCTTGACTCACTGCAACTTCTGCCCCCCGAGTTTCAAGCGATTCTCCTGCTTCAGCCTCCTGAGTAGCAAAGATTACAGGCGTCCCCCCCTCCCCCCACACCCAGCTAATTTTTGTATTTTTAATAGAGATGGGGTTTCACCATGTTAGTCAGGCTGGTCTTAAACTCCCAACTTCAGGTGATCCACCTGCCTCGGCCCCCCAAAGTGCTGGGATTACAGTTGTGAGCCACTGCACTAAAATATACTCTTAACAGTAGTCACTAAGTAACCATGTTGTACAACAGATCTCTTGAACTTATTTTTCCTAACTCAAATTTTGTATGCTTTGACCAAGAAGACCTGTATTTTTAACGTGTTGACTTAGAAAAGACCACATATTGTTAGGAAAGAGGTTCTGTGTAGAAGTATTGACAATGGGAGAAGCAGAACCACTCTTCCATTCACCTGAAGACACTGACCAGGCAGCCAGGAATTGTAGATATGGGTTTTCTAATGGCTCATTCAGCCCCCGTCTGCTGGCTATGTGCAGGTTACTGTGCTTGGTGCCTTGGGAGTAGACAGGGATGGACTGCCCTGCCCCCTAAAAGCTCAGGAGGGAGAGGTTGCAGGATGGCAAGGATAGAATGCAGTCACAGGCTAGCCGGCTTTCCCGGGAGAGGGTGGGATAAGCTGATGTCTGGCAGGGAGAAGCAGTCAGGGAAGACATGGGGTGAAGGTGGTGGCAGCATCTAGCAGAGTACTGGAAGTCATGAGTAGGACTTCAACAGGTGGAGAAAGGTCCCAGAACAGCCCGTGTCTTGTATGCGGCATGCACTTTAATCCTCTGAAGATCTCATCAGAAAGTAGATTCTGATTATGTAGTTCAAGGGGAGGAAGCAGAGATTCTGCATTTCTCACAAGCTCTAGAGGACAAGTCTCTAGAGGACCACAGAGCTGTCTGCCTCTGCTTCTTTGACCCATGAGGTGGAGGCCGGCCTGGAAGCAGTGGCACAGGCTTCAGATGCCACTGAACTGAGCGGAGCGGGAGCCCAAGACTGATCTGGCTTTAGGTGTTCCAAACCTTTCCTCGATCACAGGGTCATTAACTCTGCCTTTGGGCTGCTCCTTCTCCTGAAGTCCCCCTTTAAAAGTTCACTTGGCATTTTCCATCGATATCTATTTGAATTTATGATCTATGAACTCTTAGGACATATTGCCAGAATGTTACTTTGGTCCTTCGAAAGAAATTTATTCTATTATTGGTAGATTTCTTAAAGCTTTCTAATAAGCTGCCATTTTCTTGTGATCAAGTTCAAAAATACATTTTTAAAAACCACATGAATTAATTAGGTGGGCCTCTTGTTCCCTCCTAATTGGGGAAAGAGGAGATTATACCAATCATTCTTTTAAAACCATCAGGAGTCCCAGTTAACCTGTGTGATCTTAGCAGGAACCACCAAGGTAACTTCAGATAGCGTAAGTTGGACACCATCAGGATTCTGTTCTCCCAGTGTTTGGCATAATTGTGGTGGAGACCATGAATTAGAAACATACATAGGTAATACCCACTTACTGATGGCAGGAGAAGACCTAAAAATATTGTGGAGATGTTTCTGCTTCTTCCCAAGGGCCAGCAGTTTATACCCAGGGGCCACATCACACCAGATTGATTTCAGTGTATGCGGTGGGGCCTTCACTGTTTACATTGGTAATTGGATCCTTTCATTAAGACCGTTGCACCTATTCTTGATGTAAGAATTGAAGCAGATCTGATTTCCAACAGTTATGGCTGCCATCCCCAGAGGAAAACTCAGTGGTAGTATGTTGTTGTTGTTCAGTGTTATTTAAGCATGGTAGCCACGTATGTCTGCAGATGTATACTAAATATATATATACATGTATGTTTCCAATTTTCTTTCTAGATCTTGGCCCTGATTGCGTTTATCTGCATAGAGACCATCATGAAGTGCTCCCCGTGTGAAGGCCTCTACTTTTTTGAGTTTGTGAGCTGCAGTGCGTTTGTGGTGACTGGAGTCTTGCTGATTATGTTTGGTCTCAACCTGCACATGAGGATCCCCCAGATCAACTGGAACCTGACAGTGAGTACAAGCGGCCATTCTGGCCATGAATGGGTCATGCGGTGGTTGGCTCCAAGGAAAAGTTGAATCTCTCCAGGTTGTATTTGGTTCTAGTTCATTTTGATCCTTAAATACTCCATTACAATTCAACTGTAAAATTTTAAATTTCTTTACTGGGTTGAGTAAAACTACAAAATAAACTGAATCTTAACTAATGGGGGAAACATCATAACAGAATTATTTTGGCCACTTCAAAGATGTCATTTCAATTTTGCGATCATCTGAGAAGACTGGTCATGTTAATCTTTGCAGAATATGGGAAATAAAATACAATGAAGACATTTGCATATTTTTTAGACTGGACATAAAAGTCATTTATAAGAATATGGATTCTGGAAGAATTGAAAATATGAATGAAAATGCCAATAACGTGCAGAGCCTAGGAATATTATTGAATTCAAAGGAACTAGAAGGACCCTGGGGGGTTTGGTGGTTTGATCAGAAAGTCCTGAGTGGAAACCTGCCTTCTTCTCCCCATGGTTTAGGTTCTTAGCCCTGTTTGGCCACCCTTGTCAATTAGATGGAAAACACAGGGCTCGTCCGTCCCAGACCCCCTTTCCTGGACTGTGTCCTTACTGTGCTGAGTGAGAAGGGGATTTTAATATCATTTGGTTTTCTTGATATTTATTTGCAAGTTAGCATATGCAAGAGCTCAAAGGGAGTCAGTCAGGGAGATCCATGTAAGTAAGCACAGTCGGCTGCCTTACCCTGCTGTGCCTGTGGGAGGAGAACGCTGTGGGTACCTCAGCTGCTGAGGGGGAAGCAGGAGGAGAGTGCCGCAGACCAGCTACCCTTGACTGAAATCGGGAGCCACACACAAGGCACACGTGGCTCCATCTGTCTCTGGCTGCTGCCGGGCTCATGAGAAAATGTGGGCCCCAAGGAGGAGGCTGGAACTGCCACCTCCCTGGCAGGGCTGCTCTCCTGGTATGCCCTGGGGCCTGCAATGGGGAAGGTCCTCCTTACAATTGCTTCCTGGGTTGTCCTAACCAGCACAGACTCCTAAAGGAGGAAAAATTTAAAGGAGAGTTACTGATCTAGAAAAGTAGATGTCAGTTGAAAACTTAGCTGTTTTTTTGTCTTAGCACCAAAAGCTGAGAAAAATGTGGTGGTATTTTAAATTTAAGCTCTAAACCTCAAGATAACTAGAAGCATTTTGTCTGAGTTTTTGTGACAGGTTTTAATGTCTCAACTATTTTTAAGATGAGGTTTATGTTATCCATAAGAAAATGCTTATAGAGCATGTAGTAGACAGTTTAAGAGAACTTTGCAAACCTTCCCCAGTTAAAATGCTCATACCATGGGTGCAGGGTCAGGGTCAAGGTCAGCATCTTGTTCATTGCTGTCCTACTTGCCTCGTGTTCCTGAGGCCTGTCAATAAATACCTGCTGAGTGAAGGGCTGGGCTGTGAAACCCTGCGGGAGGACCTATTTGACAAAGAAGCAGCTGCTGGAAAGGTTAAGAGTATAGGCATTGAGTCAGACACACCGGGCTGGGTTCAAGTCCAAGGTGGCTGTTAAAACAGGCTGTCATGACCCTGGGCAAGTCGCTGAGAGCCCTGCATTGGTGAAGTATCAGCACTGGTAAAGTGGAGATAATAATCTCTTTTTGCAGGTTTTTTTTAAAGTATAAAATGAGGTAATGGGTATAAAGGCATCTGGTAAGGCCTCAAACCAGTGGGCACTGCGGCCAGTGCAGCAGTGTTAATCTCACCTGAGTAAGAGGTGTCCTGGCAGGCTGCTGTTATGTTACCCACGCTGTTCCCCTGTTGACTTCCACCAGGTTTGACTTGACTCCCTTAGTTCTGTTTTGTCAGTTTTATCTGATAGCCATTAATCTGTTAGAAGACTTCGTGCTTCAGATTTCTTACTAATTATACCGGCCTTTATCCCCAGAAATACCTACTTTTTTTAGTTGTTGTTTGTTTATTTGTTGTTTTTTGATATGGAGTCTTGCTCTGTCACCCAGGCTGGAGTGGAGTGGCATGATCCTGGCTCACTGCAACTGCTGCCTCCTGGATTCAGGGGATTCTTCTGCCTCAGCCTCCTGAGTAGCTGGGATTTCAGGCTTATACCACCACACCTGGCTAATTTTTGTATTTTTAGTGGAGATGGGATTTTACCATGGTGGCCAGGCTGGTTTTAAACCCTGGCCTCAGGTGATCCACCCGCCTCAGCCCCCCATTAGTGCTGGAATTACAGGCATGAGCCACCGCACCCTTCCCAGAAATACCTATTTAGTGAGTTTTCTGGAATTTTGCTTTTTCTGTTTTAATAATGAAAGATTTTCCACTTGTTGACTACCACACTACCACGTCACTGGTCATGTTGAGGTGCATCTCTTCCCCTGGGAAGTTGATACTTGTTCTTTTCTTCTGGGTGGTGATGATGTGGTCACTTGAGAACACTGTCCTGTTCTTTGGGATCCGTTCCAGACTTTCCACTCTTTTGGAGCAGATAAAGGCTGTGTGCTTGCCCAACAAAAGGGTATGTGCATTACGTGAACTTGAGGAGATGGTACCTATTTTTTTTTTTTTTTTTTTTACATGGAGTCTTGCTCTGTGGCTTAGGCAATGGCACGATCTTGGCTTACTGCAACCTTCATCTCCTGGGTACAAGTGATTCTCCTGCCTCAGCCTCCTGAGTAGCTGAGATTACAGGTATGCGCCACTATGCCTGGCTAATTTATTTATTTATTTATATATATATATATATGTATATATATATATATATATATATACACACACACACACACACACACACACACACATACATATTTTTTATTATTTTTTTGAGATGGAGTCTCGCACTGTCACCCAGGCTGTAGTGCAGTGGCACAATCTTGGCTCACTGCAATCTCTGCCTCCTGGGTTCAAGCAATTCTCCTGCTTCAGCCTCCTGACTAGCTGGGACTACAGACGTGCGCCACCACATCCAGCTATTTTTTTTGTATTTTTAGTAGAGATAGGGTTTCACCATGTTGGCCAGGATGGTCTCGATCTCCTAACCTCCTGATCTACCTGTCTCGGCCTCCCAAAGTGCTGAGATTACAGGCGTGAGCCACTGCGCCCGACCTAATTTTTGTTTTTCAGTAGAGATTGGGTTTTGCTATGTTGACCAGGCTAGTCTCCAACTCCTGACCTTAGGTGATCTGGCCACCTCAGCCTCCCAAAGTGCTGGGATTACAGGGGTGAGCCACTGCGCCCAGTGGAGATGGTACCTATTAAAGGCGGCTCATGTCCAGTGTTCTCTGAGAGGGGTGAAAAAGTGAGCTCCTTAGGGCCAATCTCAGCTCATCAACTCGCTACAGAAGGGTTGGCCTTGGCTGCATTGTGTTTCTCTAAGAAGGTGGTGGGAGTATTCGGATTATTTTCGTCTCCAGCAGAGCCAGCCTGATGATTAAAATAGGATGTGATTGGTATAGATTTAAAAACATAGGTCATTCCAGGAGCCCAGGTTGACATAAATATGGATGAGAAATGATAAATAAGGAGGACAATGCATAATTTTCTACAAGCATAATTTGATGGAATTTGAAAGATTCCATTAATGTCAGGTTTTTGGTTTGGGTTGTTTTTTTCTTTTTTAGATGAATTGTGGGACTCGTTTGATATTTGTTTTTCTCTGTGTCCTAGGGACTCACACATTCACATGCTCCACCCCTGTTTACTTTGATTAGTGCCACTCCTCCTTTCTACCCTTTCCCTTCTGGGATGTGGCGCTATCTAAAAAAGGTGTGTCTGATCCACCTCCCATCCCAAAAGCCTGCCAGTGGTTCTCACTCAACTAGAACCAGAGCCCAGGGCCAGCTCAGCCAGACTTCTCTGAAGAGGAGGCCTGCACCTGCCTTCTCTGCTTCACCCTCTCCTAATCTCTCTTTTCTAATCTCTTATTGTCAAATATTGAAAAAATTATGGAAGTAAGTATACAGTTTAATACACAGCCACCACCTGGGTCAACAAATAGGAGATTGTCAACACCCCAGAAACCTCCCATGTGTATTTTCCAGCCAAACACAGCTCCTGCCTCTTCCTCCAGTCCACCTTCCTGACCATCTGGTGGTCTTGCCTGATTTGTCTTCAACCCAGTCCAGTCTGGCAGCATTGCAAGTCCTCTGGTCAGGAGCCTGGGATGGGGCCTCTGTGTTCCTGGATCCTCTGGTTATTCTTGGGTTTTCACCCCACTCAACGTCTTGGTGGTGATTGCTGTGGGGTGCTCTGTCCTTCTGGCCATACTCTCTCATCTCGCTTCCTGGAACCCCACACTGTCCTATTTTTCTTCTTCCACTTTGGTCACCCTTTCTTAGTGGGCTCTGTGGCCCTGGAGGCCTTTCAGGCCTCTATCTCAGAACCCAAGCTGGGTGCTGTGATGGGTTGAGAACAGTTGGCAGTCACCCACAGTGGCCATTGGCTGAGCCCTGAGCCCTTGGGCATGACTTATCTTGTGGTTTTTTTCTGACACCAAATACATTTTCCACACCAAGTTGTTCTGTAATTCTTTGACAACAACTGGGTATTCAACAGTTCCTTTCTATTCTGACGCTAAAGCTCAGAGTTAGCACAGATCCCACAGACGAATTAGCAGAGATCCCACAAGATGCCCCCACTTCAGACATCAGCTGCAAAAGAGGTGCCCAGGCACCTCTGTCTGGCTGAATACACATTCGATGATTTCCATCGCCCCTCGTCAGGTTCAGTCATTCTGTGCAGTGACTCACAGGACTCAGGAAGGTGCTTTACTTAAACAATCACTGGCATGTTTTAAAGGATACAACTCAGGAACAGCCACTTGGGAGAGATGCATAGAGTGAGGTCCAGAGGGCCTCAGATACAGGAGCCTCTGTCCCCATGGAGTCAGAATGAGCCCCACTCAGAAGCTTCCCAGACCCCATCATTTAGGTATTTTTTCTGGAGATCTCACTAGGTAGGCATGATTGATTGGCCATTTGGTGATTAAAGTCAA